ACAGCGCATGAGCGTGGGTATACGGTATATTATGGGATGTATGTGGTAGGAGGCTAAAAAGAATGTGATGTTGAACAGAAGGGGAAAGGACGGTAGAATGTTTGTGCGTATGAGGGGAGGGCGAGGAGGGGAGAGAGGCGAGGAAGGGGAGGAAGAGAGGGGAGAGAAGAGGGGAGGTGAGGGAAAGAGTGGAGAGGGAGAGGGGAGGAAGAGAGGGGGAGAGGAAGAGGGGAGGTGAGGGGAAAGAGTGGAAGAGGGAGAGATGGAGAGGGAGAAGAGAGGGGAGAGAAGAGGAGGTGAGGGAAAGAGTGGAAGAGGAGAGAGGGGAGAGGAAGAGGAGGGAGGAGTGAGGGAAAGAGGAAAGAGGAGAGATGGAGAGGGAGGAAGAGAGGGGAGAGAAGAGGGAGGTGAGGAAAGAGTGGAAGAGGAAGATGGAGAGGGGAGGAAGAGAGGGGGAGAGGAAGAGGGGAGGTGAAGGGAAAGAGTGGAAGAGGGAGAGGTGCAGAGGGGAGGAAGAGAGGGGGAGAGGAAGAGGGGAGGTGAGGGGAAAGAGTGGAAGAGGGAGAGATGGAGAAGGGATGAAGAGAGGGGGAAAGGGAGAGGGGAGGTGAGGGGAAAGACGACAAAGAGGATAAGGGAGAAAGGGAAGAGGGGGAGGAGGAGGGAAGAAAAAAGTAAAAGGAAATAAGGCGAAGGTGGAGAACGAAAGAGATCAGAATTGGGGAAAAGAAAAGTAAAGAGAGAGAGGAGAGGGGGGGGAGGAAAGACAGGAAAGAGGGAGAGAGGGGGAGAGGAAAGGAAGGAAAGAAATATCAAGAAAGATGAAAAGGAAGGAAAATAAAATGGAAAACGAAAAGAAAAGGAGAGAGAGAGGAGGAAACGAAAATAGAGGAACATCAAGAAAGATTAGAAAGAAGGAAAAAGAAAATGGAAAGAAAAGAGGAGAGAGAATAGGAAATGGTTAGAAAGGAAAACCAAGAAAGAATAAAAGGAAAAAAAAAGAAATGAAAAGCGGAGAGAAAGAGAGGAGACGGAAACGGAAAGAGACAAACCCGAGAAAGATTAGCAGGAAAAATGGAACGGCAAATGAAAGGAAAAGGGAAGGGAGGGGGAGAGGGCGTGGGGGGAGGGGGGGAGGGGCAAACGCCGCCCATCGACTGCCCACCGAGCCATTAAAGGGCAAAGGAAAGATGGACAGGTGTAGATAAAGGTGTCAGGTGCTCTTGAAAACACCTTTCAAACATTTTTTTTCTTCATTGGTTATATTTGATGTTCATTGCTTTTATTCACGTATTATAATCGTTCCCATTATCAAGTTATCATAAATAACATAAATAACTTGTTAGCCACTTTTTTTTTTTTTTTTTTTTGCCTCTCACTTATTACTATCATTGGTATCATCATTATCATTGTTATTAACATCATCGCTAGCATCATTATCATTATTGTTATTACTGTTATCATTATTACTGTCACAATAAAAATCAATAGAAATAAGTTATTATCTTCCGTTAGTTTCATCCTCGATATCATTATTATTACCATCACCGTATTTCTGTTATCATCGGTATTATCGTTACTATTAATGTTAATATCATCCTCAAATTGGGAATCTTTACCAACACTATCAGCAACATATGTCACCATTATCGTTATCATTATTATTGTTATCATTATTATTATTACCATTATTATTGTCATTGTTATCATTATTGTCTTTATATTAATAATGATAATAATAATAATAATAATAATAATTATTATTATTATTATTATCATTATTATTATCATCATTATTATGATTATTACTATCATCATTATCATTATTCTTATTATCATTATTATTACGCTTATGATTACTAACATCTTTATTACTTTCATTGCCATTCATATAGTCATTATCATTCTGATAATTGTCATTATCATCATCATCATCAGTATCATTACATTATCAGGATCATTATCAACATTATCAATTAGGTATCATCATCACCATCACCCTCATCATTATCATCACCCTTATCATTATCGTCTTCATCTCCCTCATCATCATCATCATTACCCTTACTACTATCATTTCCATGAATTCTGTTGTGATTAGACTAAATATTGAGATATGAAAATGAAGTTATAATGATAATATTTATATTTAATCGATACACCCCACGTACGTATATATATTGTGTGTGTATATGTGTGTAACTCTCTTTAAATTTCTTTTTATCCTCTTTTATTTATCTTTATTATCACTCTTTATTCTCCTCCCCCCTCTCTCTCTTTACTCTCATCATGCTCTATTTCCCTTTCTCTCTCTTTCCTCTATTTAATTCTCTTTCTCTCCTCCTTCTTTTTTTCTCAGTCTTTCTTTCTCTTCTCTCTTCTGTCTGCTGTCTCTCTCTCTCTCTCTCTCTCTCTCTCTCTCTCTCTCTCTCTCTCTCTCTCTCTCTCTCTCTCTCTCTCTCTCTCTCTCTCTCTCTCTCTCACACACACACACACACACACTCTCTCTCTCTCTCTCTCTCTAACTGTGCTGTTAAAGAAAAAGAAATAAAGCGGTAAATTCATACTTAAGTTTATCTCAGAATTTCATTAATAACATTAAAAATATATATATTCTTCAATCAAAAATGCAATTGAGATAAAGAGCTCTTCAAAAGAAAATACTATTCTCTTAGGAGTACTATACTGAAGAAGAAAAGAAAATGGCGATTCGTAAGTTGTCTTGATCCTGATGGACATTTTAGAAAATACTATATCCGTTTGTTTACTCACTCCGATTCTCTGCAACTGACTGTGTGTCAGACGCTCTATAAAACCGAAGCCAAAAGATATAAGTCTGAATACCTGCTGCCGCTTTTATATATGAGTGTTAAAAGTACTTAGAGATACAGCCGTTGCGTCTTGCCGAATCCCAGAAGAAACCCTTGAATTCTGCCATCATTAAATATATATATATATTTTTTTGTATAAGTAGACATTATATAAAATGGGAGATTGGATGATAAAGCGGACGACCTCTTCGAATCCTTTCACCGCCACTAATTACTTTCAGAGAGAAGACATTCTAACAAACGCAGGAACCGAACAAAAGCCGAAGCCACGAATAACCCGTCCGAACGTCGCCGCAGTCAACACGTGGCGCGAAATGTTCCCGAGTCGAGTGTCTTTTCCCGCGTGACGTTGATGAGAAGATAACGACGAGGAAGGGAGACAGTATCAGCCTTAAGCGATGTTGTTAAAAGGGAGGATCGATGGAATAAAAGTCGCCTCGATCTAATACAGATGCGGGAGCAGGGTTAGAATTTTTTTTTTTTTTTTTTTTTTTTTTTTTTTTTTTTTTTTTTTTTTTTTGTCAGCCATTTGTTGAAAGGCGCTTGGTTCGCACATGGGAGGAATCGGACAAGGGAGATGGAAACGGATGGATCGTCGAGATTCGAAATAATGATACGACGAAGCGGTCCAGTCCTTCCTGAATGTTGTTATGGTCGATTTTCCCTTTCTCTTCTTCTTCTTTCTCTCGTTTTTTTCAAGTGTATTTCGTTAACCAGCATCACTAATTACGGCACATTTTTTTCCTTTTTCAATGTCGCTCTTTTCGTCTCAAATCTGTCTTTGATTGCCGCGTTCGTTCCTTTCCCTTCTCCATTCTTTTCTTTCTTCTGTTTGCTCATTAGTTTTCTCTCATTACATTATTTTAATTCATATCTATTTATATATCTATTCATTTACACATCTCTCTGAATGTCTTTCAAATCACTGTAATATCAGACACAACCTTTTTAATCAATATACTTCATCACAATAATATGCGCATCATATCTATCATCACAAAAGCACTAACAAAGCTCCTGATTTTCATTTCTTTCATTATTTAAAAAAGTAAATCAAAAACCAAATTGATTATATTACGATTAAAAAAAATCGAATCCTCATTCATCATAATAGAATTAGATTAAGATAAACAAAACATTCAAATTATCATTTTTATCTTTGCGCCTCGATTTTATTCGTTTTACGAGGCGGAGAAGTAGAGAATAAAATTATATCAACTGGTGTTTAAAAATACAAAGAGAATTCTGTTAGTAAGTATGTGGTGCAGTGTCTTAACATGTGGTTTTGGTTAATACTCTATGTGTGTGTGTGTGTGTGTGTGTGTGTGTGTGTCTTATGTGATTCTCTTGTTTTACTTTTGTCTAGACTAAATACTGATAGATGAAAATGAAGTTATAATAATAATATTTATATTTACTCAATACACCCCACATACGTATATGCATTGTGTATGTGTGTGTGCGTGTGTAACTCTCTTCAACTTTCTTTTTATCCTCTTTTATTTCTCTTTTTTATCACTCTTTCTTTATTCTTTATTTAATATATATTTTATAAGTATGTGTGTTTATTGGTCTCTTTCTCCGAGTAAGCACATTTATATTTACATATATGCTTGGATATATACTTACATGAATACATACATGCTTTAATGTACACATACATACATATGTACATACATTCACACATACACACATAAATATGTAAAGGGAGTTGTGGAAGGAAATGAAGAGGAGGGGGGAGGGGGGGGCGAAAGAGAGAGGGAAAAACAGAGTGAGCGAAAAGGGAAAGAAAGAAACTGATGAAAGAGAGAGAGAGAGAGAGAAGAGAGAGAGAGAGAGAGAGAGAGAGAGGAGGAGAGAGAGGAAGAGAGAGAAGAGAGGAGAGAAGAAGATAAAGAGAAGAGATGAGAGAGGGAGAGAGAGATAGAGAGAATGATTAAGAGCGAGAGAGAGGGAGATAGATGGAGAGAGAGAGAGAGAGAGAGAGAGAGAGAGAGAGAGAGAGAGAGAGAGAGAGAGAGAGAAGAGAGAATGAAAGAAACAGGGAAAGAAGAGACCTAAAAGATGATTAGAATAGAGGGAAAGATAGATATATGGATAGAGAGAGACAAAGAGCTCGAGCGAAGGGGCGCCGCGAGAGCGCCGGAGCCCCGGCGGGCGGCGCCTTACCTGTTCCATCATCAGGTTGGTGCCCTCGGCGAAGCGCTGTCTGCACACGGGGCACACCTGCTTGAGCGAGGCGCGGCAGGTGTTGCAGACGAGGTGGCCCTTCCGGCACTGGTGGAGGGGCGGCACCATGGTGATCTGGCAGCCCGAGCAGATGAACAGCTTGAGCAGGTCCTCATACTCGACCAGCTGGCGGCAGTCCTCGAACTGGACGGTGCCGTTGGCGGCGAACTGGCCGTTGGAGCCGGCGGAGGAGTTGCTCATCTTGGAGCGCGTGGAGAGGCGGCGGGAGAGCGAGGAGCTGATGCGGCGCAGGCGGGACGAGGACCGCGATTCGGACGGGCTCGGCGAGTCCGCGTCGGCCACGTCAAGCCAGTAGTCCTCTGGCGGCGCTGTAGTCGTTACTGTGGGCGGGGGCGGCGTGCGCGTGGGCGTGCTGAATAGCTTTCGGAAGCTGCGTGTGATGACGGAGCCCCTAATGGGCGTGGACGGCTGATCCTCGCCGTTCCTGCGGGGGACGGGCGACGGCAGCGGCGAGACACTTCCGGCGCGGCTGTTCCCCTGCGAGAGACTGCCGCTGCCTAGCGCGTCGGGGATGGGCGCTTCCGAGCCGCTGAAGGAGGCACTGCGGGGCATGTTGGCAGCGTGTTGGGCGGGGGGCGCGCGCTCCAACGCACCCCCCTTGCTGGTGCCTGACACGTCACTCGCCGCGTCGTTGTTGTTGTTGCTGCTGAGAGAGGGGGAGGGGGACCTCTCCCTGACGGTGACGGGGGAGCCCCCCCGCACGGGGCTGCCCTCGCAGCTGCTGCTGGGCGTCTGCTGGCCGGGGGAGGGGGGCGGCGTGACCTGCGGGGGGGCCAGCGTCGAGGGGCCTCGCATGGCCGCCTGATACGACGGGTTACGGGCCACGCGGACGCCGCGCCGCGCGCTGCCGGGGAACCGCTGCTCGTCGCCCAGGCTGGAGCCTCGCAGGTCTGGAGATCCAAACTCGATGCTGTCGCGGGCGTGGGCAAAGGGGCGCGGGCGGCGCGTGGGCGGCTCCTCTGCGTCATCCGTGTCTGCGTAGGAGAGGGTTCGGCCCATCTGCAGCGAGCCGATCTTCCTCCTGGTGAGGGCCCCGCTCACGTCCAGGTCGATCTTGGCCTCGACCACGCTCGTGTTGATGGCCTCGACCGCGTCCTCCATGACCTCGTCCTCGTCCTCGTCGCACTCCATGTCCTCCAGATCCTCCTGCAGGCAAGCGGGGACTCCCTCTGGCGGATCCTCCTTCGCCAGGCCTCTCTTCCTGCTCTCCACGACCCGCTCATCACGCACGACGAGCTGCTCCTTCACCACCTTCGTCGTCACCACCACCTCGCCCTCCGTCTTGCTCTCCTCCTCCTCCCCCTCCTCCTCAGCCACCCCCGTCCCGCCGTTGGTGTAGGTCGTGCGGCACTCGACCTCGAAGCGCTGGTTGTAGCACTCCTCGAAGCGGTCGCCGTCGTCGTAGTTGCCGTTCCTGCTGGCCCACGCCTCCTGCACGTCCTCGCACGACTCGAACACGGCCAGCTCGTCCGACGACTCCGCCACCATGCTCAGAATGGGGCCCGGCATGATTGATGTCTTTATTTTTTTCCCTCTAAATATATGAGTAGTGACGGTTTGTCTTGCTGTGGCACTCTGTAAGCACTTATCACTTTTGTGTTGTCGTTGCAATCCCTGTCGCGGGGTTATATCACCGTAAAATCTTATAGGAGTAATGCTTCACAGTGTCTGAAGTCAACTGAGCGGATCTTATATTCGCATCGCGTTTTAAAGCCGCTTCACAAACGCCTCCCAGTTCGTCGTATTGCTAATATTCACAGGAAATGATTTCATTGAGGGCGTCGCTGTAGTTCCCTTTTCGTCACCTGGCTAAAGGAAGGAAGTAAATGAGAACCAAGACAAAGGGAAACGGGGAAGGAGAGAATAGAAATAAGTTAATTCATTTTGAGAATCCTCCTGTCCATGGGCGGTTCCGTGAATGACGATGTATCGCAGGCCAAATGTGTGTGTGTGTGTGAGAGAGAGAGAGAGAGAGAGAGGGGGGGGGTCAGTTGGCTGTTGCTATATTTTCTCACCTTCCCGACTTCCGTTTTCTTTGTATGTGCCACTTAATTCATTCCCAGAAAGCGGTCGAGGTTATAGCAACACAAGTCCCATCGCACACCCAGCGGTGTCATTCCCCCTCTTCTCGCCTCTTACAACCCCCTCACCCCCCCACCACCCCACCCCCCACCCACACGCACGGAGCCGAACGAGGCACACGAAAGCGGAAACACACGCGCGGGAAAGCAGCTATACTCGTCCCGGCGTCACTTCCCCCTTTCCCTTTCCTTTCCCGAGCGGCGCGAAAACCGTCGACGGAGCGAAGTGCACCTCGAAGCACCTGCGACCGAGTCAGTGCACCTGCGACCCGACTTGGCACGCGGGCGGCGGCGGGGTCTTGGCGCCGGTTAACCTGACACGTCTTTTCTTGCCAGTTGATATCGTCTGTCGCACGTGCTTCATGCGCGGGGGAAAAAAGAGGGGGGGAGAAGAATAGAAGAGAGAGAGAGAGAAAGGGGGAGGAGGGAAAAAGACGGTGAGTCAAGGAGGAAAAAGATGATTCCGATCTTGGCAAGGGAACAGAGCAGCTGAATTAAACGGAGAGAGTGTGAAAGTTCTTGTAATTTAATGCTTATCTTCAGCGTCAGGTCACCGAGTGTTATTCCATCTTCCAACCGCGCAAAGAGAAGTGAAAAAAATAAAAATAAAATAAAAGCAATAAATAAATCACGGAAAAAATACAACAAAGAGAACAACAGCTAAAAAAAAAATAATAATAAAAAAATAAAAAATAAAAAATGAAACTAGTCACGAAGACACACGGCAGGTCACGCGGAGGAATACACGCGCTGGACACACACGCACTCTGAGAGAAGCCACACCACCCACACTCCCGTCTGTCACTGAACTCCCTCCGCCACCCACCACCCATATTTATACTATCGGCAACCCACCCACCCACTTCCCACCCGCCCTCTTTCACGCCCTCCCTCCCACTGCCCACCCGATGAGCGCCACTTCAGGTCAGAGGGCGTGGAAGGGAGAGGGAGGTAGGGAGGGAGGGAGAAAGGAGGAAGGGAAAGTGGAAAGGAGTAAGGGAAAGAGGAAGGGAGAGAAGGAGGAGGGGAGGTAAGAAGAAGAAAGAGGGAGAGAGGAAAGGAAAAAGGGAAAGATGAAGGAAAGGAGGTGAGAAGGAAGGGAAAGAAGGAGGTAGGGAGGAAGTGAGAAAGGGAAAGAGGGAATGAGGAAGGGAAAAAGGGAAGAGGGAGGGAGGGAGAAAGATAAGGAGGAAGGGAGAAAGGGAAATAGAAAAGGAGATAAAGAAGAAGAGAGGGAGAGAGAAAATGAGAGAAGAAGAGAGATAGAGGGAAAATAGGATTAAAGAAGAAGGGAGGTAAGAAAAAAGAAGAAAAAAGAGGTAAAGAAGAAGTGAGGTAGGGGGAAAAATAAAAAGAGGAGGCAAAGGAGAAGGGAGGAAGGCAGAAAGGGAAAGAGAGAAGGAGGTAAGGAAGAAAAAAGGACGAAGAGTGGAGGCTGGGAAGGAGGCCAAGGGTGAGGGGAGGAGGCAGAGAGGGGAGGAAGTTGATATGAGGCGCCAGGTAATAAAGGTGAGGGAGAGAGGGATGGAGGGGGGATGGAGAGGGGAAATAGAGGGATGGGGAGGGGATGGAGATGGGGGATTGTAGGGGGATGGATAGGGGAGAGGAGAGGAGAAGGGAGGTGGGATGGAGATGGGTGACTGTAGGGGATTGTAGGAAATGGAGAGGGGAAGGAAGGGGGGATAGAGAGGGGGGAATGCAAGGGGATGAAGAGGGGAGAGGAGAGGAAAGGAAGCGGGGATGGAGAGGGAAGAGGAGAGGGAGGAAAAGGGGATAAAAAGGGGAAGGAAGGAGGAGGGGATTATAGGGGAGAGGAAAGGGAAAGGAGAGGGGAAGGAAGGAGGGTTACAGGGTGGAGCGCCGGTTGAACAGATGAGTGGGGAGAAAAAAGAGAATGATTTAGTGGAAAATGAGAAAAAGGGGAAAGGCAAAATAATGGAGGGAGGGAAGGGGAGGGGAGGGGAGGGGAACGGAGGGGAGGAGGGGGAGGGAGGGGAGGGGAGGGGAGGGAACGGAGGGAGGGGAACGGAGGGGAGGGGAGGGAGGGGAGGGAGGGGAGGGAGGGGAGGGGGTAACCGGTGAAGCATCGACTGTTGAGAGTCGAAAATAGAATATCAAGGGAAAAAAAACGAAGAAAATTAAATAGTGATGAGAATGGGTGGAGAGAGAGAGATAGAGATAGAGAGACAGACAGAGAAAGAAAGGCAGAGAGAGAGAGACAGACAGACAGAGAAAGAAAGGCAGAGAGGAGAAGAGAGAGAGAGAGAGAGAGAGAGAGAGAGAGAGAGAGAGAAAGAGAGAGAGAGAGAGAGAGAGAGAGAGAGAGAAATACAAAGAAAGAAAATAAAATAGAATAGAAAGAAAGCAAAGGAGAACAAATAAAGAAGGACAGAGATAAAAGAAAATACACCTCTAAAGAAAAAAGAAAGAGAAAAAAAGAAAACAAGATTCACACATTAAAAGATGAAAAACAAAACAAAACAAGACAACACAAAAATAGATCAACTCAAACAAAAACAAAAAGAAGATTCACACACCATTTTTTTTCTCTTTAACTTAAGCAAAACAAGATTCACACGCGTTTCTGAAGCGGAACGACCACACCTGCCTCACTGCATACGCTTCCTGGGTATTCATTTTCACCATTATCCTGTTGGTGCTGCCATGATCACCATACTTCCATTGTCATGTTAATCATAACTTATTTTTAGTTTTTTTAAATTATTTGTTTAGATGTCTTATTTGTTTGTCTGTCTGTCGGTCTTTGTATCTCTCTCTCTCTCTCTCTCTCTCTCTCTCTCTCTCTCTCTCTCTCTCTCTCTCTCTCTCTCTCTCTCTCTCTCTCTCTCTCTCTCTCTCTCTCTCTCTCTCTCTCCCTCCCTCTTCTCTTCTCTTCTCTTCTCTCACCTTCCTATCAGAGCATTGTTTTCAAATCTCTTATAGATGAATGAATAAGGATAACAGATAAATGAATAAATCTGTAGCTCTCTCGTTGTTTATGTAAGTCTAGTTCTGTTAATAAATGTGACTCAATATCACATGCCAAGAATGAGGTTGGGTGAACTATGACCATGTTTTATGATGACTTTAATGGCCTTCACAGTATCAACAATGCTCACGGCATCAGGGATCATGCATGTAATACACACATAACAATTAGTTAAAAGGTTAGGACCATAATGATAAAACAAATAGCAATATTAATGACAAGAAAGTGTATTGATCTTAGTAATAATTTCAATATCATCATGACATCGAAAAATTAATAGATTCTTCCAGAATTTAAAACACGCGACGTTGAAATTGCTCCGATTTTTCGCTCAAAATATTGCGCCTTCGTCCGAATGCGAGCGCGTAATGTAAACAAACAGAACACGAAGTGAAATTAATGTTCTCGTGTCCCAATTGAAGTGTCGAGCCAACGATGCCGAAGTCGTGGTCTGATTCGAACAAAAGTGTAACGAATTGCGCGCGTCAACAGCTGAATGTTTGTTTGTTTTTTATGTGAAAATCATTATATTTTTTCCTCATTTCTCTTTTTAGTCTCGTATAATTTTGATTAGATTTTTAATGGGATGAAGGAAGAAACCACATCGTTATTATCTCGATTGCCATGATTTTACATGTTACATGGCGATGTTCTTTTGTTTAGGAATTTCGATTTTTTTTTGTTTTGTTTATTACTTCATGGGAAATATATCTGAAAGAAAAAAGCATATAATTGGATGAAAACATCATTAAACAAATAATTAATAAACACTGTACCAAACAAATGAAAAAATATATTTATGATTACACAAACGCAAGTCAGCAAAGAAATACATAAAAACCATAACAAAAGAAAAACAAAAGAAAAACTATAAAAAAAAAAGCAAATACAAAAGACAGGAGATTTTATCGGATCAAATGAACGTTCCGAAACAACACGTATCTTAGAGGAAATTCAAAACAACCTGTGACGTCATTCTACAAGTTCCTCCTGGATTTTTTTTTTTTTTTTTTTTTTGGGGGGGGTGTAAGAGAAAATTAAGAAAGGAAAATAGACATGGAAGTAAAGAATATATATGGAGATGAGTAACTAATGGTAACTAATGATTTTAATAGAGGACGGAGAATGAGGAAGAGGTAAAGGAGTAGAAGACAGAAGTAGAAGGGGAGAAGGATAATAAGGGAAAGAAGAAGCAACGGGAAGTAAGAACGCATTGGAATTTGGAGAGAGAGAGAGAAAGATAGATAGATAGATAGAGATAGATAGAGAGAGAGAGATATATATAGAGAGAGAGAGACGAAGAGACATACAAACAGAGACAGACAGGCAGATTAACATATAGGTAGATATAGAGATTGAGAAGGAAATGCAGGATGAAAAACACACACAAAAGAAACAGTAATCATAATGGCAGTTAACAGGAACACTATAGAAAATGAAAAATTATCGCAACAGTAGAACCTCGCGATACCAATGATGATAAAAGACAAAATAAGACACGCGCACAAACACACAAACAAAAACACACCCACCCACACACCCACAATATACACACGCACACACAAGTATATATATATACATATATATACATACATATATATATATATATATATATATATATATATATATATATATATATATATATATATATATATTCACACACACATACTCATGTCATCCTGATCCCTCCATCTAAGCAAACAAGAGCGTCTCAGTGATCCTATCACCGCCATTGCGAAGGCTCACCGCCTGCCAGAGTTACCACGAGCTCTCCCGCATCGCCCGCCTCAGCCTGGCACCTGCCCGCCCGGCCCATAGATCACTAGGTGGTTTTAGGTGCCCGGGATAGGTGCCCGGAATAGACCCGTCACCCAGACCTTGATATAGGCTGGCGTCTCATCCAAATTATTTGATTATACTTATAGGATGGTTGGAGTCGCGGCGGAAATAAGCCACCTCCTCTTTCTCTCTCTCTCTCTCTCTCTCTCTCCCCCCCCCCCCCCGCCCAGGTGGTTCGTCTGGCAACCCCTGGATACGGTTCCACTTGTGGCGCCTCTCGTGGGGATTATGAACCCAGGTTCTTCTTTGTACTTTTGTCTGAATTTATCATTAATCAGTGAAATAGTTATCATTACTATTATCAACATTAATGTTATCACTAACATTGTTGTTATTATTATTGTCACCATTATTATCATTATTGTTATTATTGTTATTATTATTATCATTATTATTATTATTATCATTATTATTATTATTATTTTTATTATTATCATTATAACTATTATCATTATCATTATCATTATCATTATCATTATTATCATCATCATCAATCATCATTATCATCACTATCGTTATCCTTATCACTATCACCACAATTTTCCTTTTTATGAATAGGACAGGATATACTCTCGTTAGAAGGGGCTTCATAAAGCGAACTGCATGACCTCAGATAACAATATTCTCTTCCTCCACAACATACAACATGATATGGTAAACTATACTTTTTATGACTGCAGTTGGATGCGATAAAGTCCTCTGCTGATCTGACCTCCGTCGGCGCCGGGGCTGAAGCGCGGTCTCTGACACGCATACGAAGCTGACCTAAATTTGGCACAGCACTCTAATTGCGATGCCACAGTTGCTGGCACATTAAAAAAGGGGAAAATAGATTTTAAAAAATTTGATTTGGAATAAATATGGCAAGATGATATGCAAGAATAGCTATTTGGTATGTAGTTACGGGCACTTAAAGCGAGAATATGAGGGTGAATTGATGCTTGAAGTGCCTTCCTCA